GTTCATGAGAGTTGCTTCATGGGCTGAACCCAGTAGAGCCAATATGTCCAGAAGGTGGTACATGGAGTAAAAGGCTATTCTAGACTCCCTTTGTGTGTGTGTGTGTGTGTGTAATTATTATTTTTAATGTCCAGAATGTGTAATACAAGGGCCAGAGCTTCCTCCTGGACTCAATTTTATAAATTCTCGATTGGTTGGTGAGGCCAATAGGGATACTTTTTCTTGTCTAATTTGGTTTCTGGGAAAGCTTCGTTCAAGTCCTCAATGGTCATCTGATCAAATGGAATTAAGTTCTTTATCTTCTCCATCTGTTTCTCATATTCTACAATCCTGGCCTTTGAGAGAGACACCCACTCAGCACAAGATTTCACATCTTCTTTTTCTTTGGCATCCACCTGGGCAGTATATTTATCCTCCGGCACAGGAATCTTCAGGGCATTAGACTCTTAAGATTTAATGTTGTCTGGCTTGTTGGGGTTTGGACTTACTTGGGTCCTGTTACTGCTTTCTTCTTGCCTATTTCTCCCCTTTGGAATGGGGATACCTATCCTATTCCTGTCCCACCATTGCATTTTGGAAGCATGTAATTTGTTTTGATTTCATAGGCTCACAACTAGAAGGAAATTTGCCTTAGGATGAATCCTGTCTTGAGCCTCACCCGTATCTGATTTAGATGAGACTCCGGACTTTGGACTTTTGAGTAGATGCTGGATCTAGTTAAGACTTTGGGGGCTACTGGGATGGAATAAATGTATTTTGCATGCAAGAAGGACATGAATTTTGAAGGCCAGGGCAGAATGCCATGGTTTGAATGTGTCCCTCAAAGCTCATATATTGGAAACCATCCCCATTGCAACAGTGCAGAGAGGTAGGACCTTTAAGAGGTAATTAGGTCATGAGGCTCCACCCATATGAATGGATTAATGCCAATACTGCAGGAACAGGTTCGTTATCACAGAAGTGGGGTCCTTCTGAAGGACGAGTTCAGCTCTTGCCTGTGTGATGCCTTCAGCATGTTATGAGGCAGCAAGAAGGTCCTTATCAGACATGGTCCCCTAATCTTGGACTTCCCAGCCTCTAGAACTGTGAGCCAAATAAATTTCTCTTCATTATGAATTACTTAGACTGTGCTATTCCATTATAGCAGCAGAAGATAAATAAGACAGATGTCCAGGTGAGAGAAAAAATCAACAAGATGACTCTGGTTTTGATCCTGACTGCTGAGCAGAGGGTGCCCTGTCATTCCCCCAGTCTCCCTGACCCTTCTCTCCCTGAAGGGCCCAACCCCTTACCTTGAACTCCACTTCACTCTCCCTGAACTCCACTCTACTCTCACCATGCTAGTAGACACTCTTTCGTTTACATACCTGGGGCCTTTGCACTTCCTGTTCATCTCCTGAAAAGTCTGGGAAGGTGCATTCTCCATTCACTCAGGTCTCCACTCAGATGGCAGGTCCTAAGGGAAGATCCCTGACTGTCCTGAAAAATAGTCTCTATCACTGTATCCTCTTGCCAGATTTAATTTTCCTGATAGAGCTTATCACTTCCTGACCTTCTCCCTCCTCTGTCTCTCTCACACCCTCTCTTCCCCCTCTATCTATCTATCTATGCATTTATTATCAGTTTCTCTCCAGTACTCCAGTAGAATGTGAGCCCCATTAGGACAGAACCTTTATTTGGCATGTTTACCACTGCATCCCCAGTACCTATATCAGTGCTCAATAACTATTTGTTGAATGAATGAATAGATACATGTAAAAATGCATTAATGAAACCATACATCCACTTATTCAGAAATGATTGCTTGAGGATCTGCCATGTGAGTACATCTCAGGAAACAAGAGATAAGGATTAAATGATAGGTGCTCAATTAGAGACAGTCAGATTAGAAAGGCATGACCCTAGCCCTGAAGTCAATTATGATGCCCTGGATGAGGAAAATCATTCTCTGGTTCATTCCCTGCTGTGCTGGGAGCTGTAGGGAATCCACTGCTGAATCAGACAACTCCTGGTCCCCTGCCTAGGTCCTGCAACGTAAGGCTGCTATGACAAGGGCCTCTTATGAAATGTATGAGAAACTGCCACCAGGCCACCAGCCAGCCACCAACACGTCCACAGTGGCTTGGAGTTCCAGCATTGCCCTGCACACTGTGAGACCAGCAGAGGCTTCCCTGGCCAGAACTTGCCTCCCCAGAGTCTCTTAGCCTGCCTCCCAGAAAAGCAAGTCTTCATCTCACGCTAATTCCCAAAAGACATCATGAGAATGCCCAAGCTCCTCATTGGTCCTTTGCCTCATGAATCGTCCTTTTCAGGGATGAGATCACTTCTAGTTGGAGGCCCAGCAGTGCACAGAGGGGTGGCCTCTCCTTGTCTACACCCTCAGAGGGCACTCCTGGATGCCTTTGGGGACTGATTGTTAGGCTGACTCAGAGAACATAAATGATAAGCCACTTTAGAATAGGAAGAGCTCAGTCTGGGCGCAGTGGCTCATGCCTGTAATCCCAGCACTTTAGGAGGCCAAGGCGGGCGGTCACTTGAGGTCAGAAGTTCGAGACCACTCTGGCCAACATGGTGAAACCCCATTTCTACTAAAAATACAAAAACTGGCTGGGCATGATGGCAGGTACCTATAGTCCCAGCCACTTAGGAGGCTGAGGCAGGAGAATCGCTTGAGCCTGGGAGGCAGAGGTTGCAGTGAGCCATGCCACTGCACTCCAGCCTGGGTGACAGAGCGAGACTCCATCTCAAAAAAATAATGGGAAAAAAAAAAAAAAGTAGGAAGATGCCATCAGATGGTGAACACACCATGGGACCAATCAGTGAAGACACATCTGACAGAGAAAAAAGAAGGAAGAGGGAGTGGGCACAGAGGCCCTACAGAATTCTCTTTGGTGAATGCAGAACAGCCAAAGTGAGAAAGGTGTAAAGAAGCCAGCCACCACTGCAGGGATGACACTGGAGTGCGCCGGTTCTGAAGCTGTCTGTCCTTGGCTTTCTCTCCTGGCCCTGCCCTGCTTTGTATCACCACAGGGCTGACCGGGGCAGGCTGCGTTTCCCAAGCCCTGGGGCTATCCAGGTCCACAGGAAATACTGCAGTGCTGGAGCAATGGGGACGGGTGGTGGGGGGAGCTGTCCACCTCCCTGACCCAGCCGTGCACTAGGCAGTGGTTATGACTCCTCTATGGCTCCACCACACACCAGACAAACCCACCATGGGTGCAGCTTCTACCAGCCAACTGCAGCCCCTGGGCTCCAGGATCACCACCTCCTCACTTTGTCCTTCTGCCTCGGGGTAGCTTCCTGTTGTTACTCATCTCTGGGTTACTTCACTCTCCCTGTTTGTGTCTCGGCTGCTTCATCACCAATTCCTGGTATAAGACCCTCAGCTGTAAACACCTAAAATGATTTCTGTGTTCCTGGTTAGACTCAGATGGTTCAAGAGTAAAGCTGCATCAGGAAGAACTGAGCACAGTCATCTCTAAGAACCCCCTGCCAGAGGTATAGGTATGAGTGAGCCACCCAACTCTTACAAACGCCTTCACTCAGAGGCGAAAGAACCCACACGTGGGTTTGGAAAATGCTAACAGGATGACACAGTGTCCTTTCAACTGCTGAGACCGGAGCAGGGTCCTCAGGCCTGGCCATCCCTGTTTCTCATCACCTGTTCCTCATGGAAGGACATGGGTGCAGGGAGGTGGAGGGCCGGGGGATGCCAGAGGTCCACGTCTTTCTGCGGTCCTGCGGTTTGGATAGTTAGGGACTGAATCCTCCCTCTTCCCTTCCCTCGCCCTTGGCTGGGAGGGAGTGACAGTTCATAGCTCTGGTCCCCTCCTTCCCGCCTCCTCTCTTATCAAGGATCTCAGCCACTTGTAACTGGAAACTTGGATCTCAAGAGCAGGAAAATAAGGCTTTCAGACTATTAAACTACTTCCTGCAGAGAAATTCTTCCTCCCCAAGGAGAACAGGAAACCAGATACAATCAAAAGTGCTGGGCACACTCCAGGGGCCAAATATTTAACAGTAACATTGCCCAGGGGAGTCTGCTTCAGGGGCCCTGGGGAGGGGGCAGGATATCGAACCTAAGAATCCTGCCTTGAATCCCACTGTGAGGGGCTCTGTGGCATCATTCACCATCTAGAACATCAGTGCCCATCAATCCCCAAAAGGAGACCTGGGCTGACACCCCAGGCCAGCCTGCAGGGCTACAGGGAGTGGGGAAGACACTCTGTGTCTTGAAAGAAAAGAGCAGGATAAATTGACTAGGTCATTAGTGTAATGGGCCTTGGAAATCACTCCTGGTCACTTGCTGAGGACAAATAACTCCTCAGCCTGGTGGGAAAAATAATGAGGTTCCTGTGTGTGACTCAGTAACATCCTCTATTCTGAGCAACCTCCCCCATCATCTGTCCTTCGGATTCAGGGCCCCTTTCTGAGCGCTGGACATGAGCAGAATAAACATAGCTCCCACCATGAAGAAACTCTCAGTCCACAGGAGAGGCCCAGCACCTGAGCAAAGGGATCCCCAGTCTGATGAGAGCGGCGTGTGCTGCAACGCACAGGGCAGAGTTCGCCACCAGTCCCCCTACTCAAAGGTTTCATGGATGACTGACAGCACAAGCTCCCCAGAGACCTGTGTGCCTGCAGAGAGCTCTTCTCTCTCTCTCTCTAGGTGGGCGTTCTCATCCCAACAAACAGAAGTTTGGATTTGCTCTGTGGTTCTGATCCAGAGGGGGCTTCAGAGGGTGGGGTGCAAAGTGGGAGGCTTTCAGATTTGGAGGAGGCATGTTTTCAAAGTATATTTGCCTCTGATCTTCATCCCTTTCTCCCAGTCCAGGGCATATCCTATGGAATGTTTTTCCACAGCCAGGAGGCCAAGGTATCGCACTTTGAGACAATGTCCTTGGCGATTTCACAATGCAGCCACCTCCTCACCTCCCAAATTCAGGTATAGCCCCCACATCCCTGTGAGAGGTTGGTCCTCGAGGAGGAGGGTGTCTCACCTGGATAGTACACGCAAGAAAACCGGACCCAGACCTTGGCATTCTCAGCTCTTTCTGCACTGAGATGTGATTCTCTCCACCTCTCCAAGGAAGACCGGGATGGCAAAAGGACCAAGGCCAACTGGCCCCACCTGCTATGGGTGACTGTTTCTGACTCATCCCGTGGGACAGGAAAAAACCATCCCATCTGCATTCAGACTCAATGACCTGTGAGTAGCTGCTGCAGGGAGACCTCACTGGGATGGCCAGGGCGCTAACACGGGCAAAATTCCTTTTCCAGCGAAGTGGAAAGGCCTGCCGTGGTGGGAAGGGAGCTGATGGCTTTATGCGGCTTCCCATAGGCCTCTCTGGTCTTTGCAGACTGTGGCCACTTAGGAGAGCAGCAGAGAATTCTCCAGCCCAGCTGGCACATGTGGAGAGCCCAGGCAGGAGGGAGCCAGGAAGCAGCAGAATTCTGCAGGCTCAGGAGAGCAGAGGGGGCCCTGCTGGACCCCCAAAGGAGGGCAGTCCTCCCTTGGAATACCTCACTGTGGTGGGAATTGGGAGACCCTCGTTCTGGTCCAGGCTGTGCCAGAAGTGAGCTGGCCTTGGGGGAGACCCTTTCCCTTTTGGGGCCTCTGTGTCCGTGTCGGGATGATGAGGGATTGAATGAGATCTTTTCTGGGCTCTAGCAGGTCATGGTTCCCTTCTTCTGGAATGTGTCAAATCATCTTCTATGGAAAGCTGAGTTCAGTACTAGCAAAGGGAGGGAGGGGCACTGAGCACCGAACTCCTCATGGGGAAGAGGAGACCAGGGGCGGTGGTGAGGGGCACCCACACCTCCCCGGAAGGGAGCCCCTCCTGCATGCTCTAGCTCTGTGCCCCGTGGAGAGGAAGATGGGGGGCAAGATGGAATGTAAAGAGAAATAAATATGTATTGAGTGGAATGAATGAATGAATGAATGAATGAATGAATGAAGCGTGCTGTGGGGTAAGATCCGAGTTCAAACTGTGACTCCACCGTTAACAGCTTGTGGCCTTGATCAAGTAACAATTCTTTGAGCCTTTGTTTTGTCTGGGCACGATGGGAGGAGAAGGCTGGCTTGGCAGGCCCCCTGTGAGGATGAGGCTGGCGCAGTAACTTATCTGGGCACTCAATGAACAGTAGCACCAGGTGACCATTGCTATCTCCAACAGGAGCACACCCCTGATTCTACTGGAATACACAATCGGCCCTTGAAGAGATACAAAACAGGTTGCAAGGACATAGATAAACAAAAAATTACTTCTGTTTCACTTTGGAAAGCAAGTCACATGGTTTCCATATCTATTTCACAGCCAGCTCTCCTTCTTAACTCAACCTCGTACAGAACGGGTCTGTATTCCCTGATCTAACTGACGAAAGTGTTTGAGTCTGGGGTGGGAGTTTGGGAACCTGCTCAGCCCAGCACTAAACCCTACACAGGGTCCTGGAGAAGCCACACTCCCTGGAGAACCCCAGTAAAGCTCCACTGGGGAAGTGGCCAGGGAGGAATACTAGAGATATGGGAGGTGGAATCGGGGGAACCCATGCCCTTCCTCCCACCTCCCTTCTGAGCATCTCTTGGCCTGCCTAGAACCACGGGGTACAGGGCATCTGCCTGAAGGCCTATTTCCACCAAGGGACTGTAAATCCGCCCCACTGGAGAGATCCCGTGCAGACTCGAGATCAGCCCAAAGGCACCAGCTGGAGTTGGGACCTAGAAAGCAGGTTGGATGCTTGCTGACAGCCCGGAGTGACAAGAGGAGGTGCCTCTTGAGCCGGACAGATTGGGATGCTGTGCTCTGAGGAGGCGGCTGTTCTCACTGAGCTTGGGTTGTCAGGGCCCCCTAAAGATCACAGCACCTAGCCCCCACTCTGGAAAAGATTCGACAGACAGCAGGTAGAGGAGGACAGAGAGGACAGGAAGACCTCACCACCTTGGAAATCTTTCCAAAGAAAGAGTCTACCCCCACACTCAGCTCCGCATTCCATAGCTTGTGCTTCCACATTAGAAAGTCCTTCCCAGAGTCTAACTTCAGTTCTTCCTGCTGCATCAGAACTCAAGGAGACACCACTCTTGGGACCTGGAGGAAGTACAGTCATATTCTCCCTGCTTCTGGCCTTTTTCCCCACCTTGCAACCAGGCCAAGGAGTGCAGAGCCCAAATAACAGCGGGAAGTACCCGGGGACCCAGCAGTTTTCCATTGTCCCTCCTTGGTATCTCCTGACGCTCTCTTTGTCCTGTGTCCCTCCACATAAGCACTCACCAAGCCCACAATGTACAGAGTCCCTGCAGAAGCCACAGGCCAGGCCCAATCCAGGAACCAGTCCTCCCCAGCCAGCAGTCACCCAGGCCAGGGCAGAGCCCAAGAAAGAGTTTAGCAGCAGCTACAGCCCTCCCGCCCCACTGCATGTGCTCAGGGGCTTCTGCCCCAGCTCCAGGGATGGCTTTGTGGAGGAGGGGCCCAGACACACAGATGCAGTGGGAGGTGGGGGGCACCCAGGCTCACCCAGTGGGTACAGGTGAGCCAGAGACCCCCCTCCCCAGAATAACACGCAGCAGGAAGTGGGAACGTAAGGTCTCCTAGATCATCTGGGGGCTGGCTCCCTTCTCTTCCCCATGTGAGACAATCAGAAAAATTCTTTTATTTTTCTCCCAGAGCACATAACTGCAAGTACCTGAAGGGCGGAGACCAAATCTGGTTCAAAATCATCTTCCTAGCACCTACCACAGTATCTGGCACACAGTAAGGACTCAATAATATTTGGGGAAGGAAATGCAATCATATAAAATGCTCAATTAAAACCAGAGAGGCAGAAAAAGAAAAGGAAAAAAGAAAACAAACGTAATGACTAGAAAACAGTTACAAACATGGCAGATCATTAAGCCGAGTATTGCAATCATCACCTTAAACGTGAAGAAAGAAGGAGGAATTGGTAAGAGGAAGCCATCCTGAGTCTTCTTGCTCATCTCAACAACAACATCCCTACTGGCAGGCAGCAGAGCTCTGCTCCCCACGGTCACAGCTGAGGGGCCTCCTACAGAATGCACAGGGTCTCCACTCGAAGGTCCTGCCTCAACCACCCAGCCCCAATATCTCAAGCCAGTTAATTAGGTGGTCCTCGCAGGCATCTAGCACACTTCCTCCCGCTGCAAAACCAGCCCTTCTCCTCACTTGCCGGCCTGGGTGGAGGTGGGGAATAGCCTGTCCTCCTCCTCCTCTGGGAGCTGGTCTGTGCCCCCGGCATTTGCACGGGTAAAACGGAACAGCATGTTAGCTGCTGGCAATGTCCCAGGCCAGGAGCCTGCCAGGCAGCTTCTCTGAGGGTTGATCAATAAACTCAATTTCCGTCATTTCTTCCACTTCTGCGAAGTCCTATAAATCACTCCGATCTGCCACGACCCTGGAAGGGGGAAACGCATGGTGTGTGTGGAGGAGGAGGAAGCTTATTAAATCAAATCCTTTTGTTTCCATCCACCATTCATGGAAACTTCAAGGTGCTGTGCTCAGAGCTGGAAAAAGAAAATGCAAGCCGGGTGCGGCGGCTCATGCCTATAATCCCAGCACTTTGGGAGGCCGAGGAGGGTGGATCACCTGAGGTCAAGAGTTCACGACCAGCCTGGGCAACATGGTGAAACCTGTCTCTACTAAAAATACAAATATTAGCCAGGCTTGGTGGTATACACCTGTAGTCCCAGCTACTCAGGAGGCTGAGGCAGGAGAATCGCTTGAACCCGTGTGGCGGAGGTTGCAGTGAGCCGAAATCGTGCCATTGCACTCCAGCCGGGGCAATGGAGCAAAAACTCCATCTAAAAAAAAAAATTAAAAATGCAGAAAGCCAATAGTAGTGGGCCTTGGGGAACTCCACCAGGCAAGAATCGGGCAGGACATGCACTGCGACCAGGGGAGGGGTGGACATGAGCAGTGGCACAGAGGGCACGTGGGGGAACAGGCATAGAGTGGCTTCCTTCACCCAGTTGACAGAAACACTGACGGTCTGGGACATTTGGAAGGTTCAACCCCAGGGCCTCCAACTTCCAATTCCACAAAGGCCTGACCCCTACACTGCTCTCTCCCTTCCCAACCTCCTCAGCTGGTGCTCACCGTCTCCCACAGAGCACAGTGGCTGGCTAGGGGAGCCAAGGCTCAGGGTGGCAAAACACTGTGAGACTCTTGGCAGCGTTAGAGGACCTGGATTGGAATCAGACTCAGACCTGCTGTTAGCAAATCACGTCACCTCTCAGAACCTTAGGCTCCTCATCCGTAAGATGGAGTTCGATGTCTGCTGCACTGGTGATGTCAGAGCTACCATTTAGCATTGAGCTTTCGCATACAGCCCTCCTCTACTCTTCATCCTAGGAGGAAGGGACTCATCTCCACAGGTGGAGACTGGGCAACTTGCCCAAGGTCATAGAGTTAGTGACCAGAATCGTCATTGCAACCCAGGCCAGCTGCCTCTAAAGCATGTATTTTTGTTGTTTGTTTTTTGCGACAGGGTCTTATTGTCGCCCAGGCTCAAGTGCAGTGGTGCGGGATCTCGGCTCACGGCAACCTCTGCCACTCCAGTTCAAGTGATTCTCCTGCCTTAGCCTCCCGAGTAGGTGGAACTACAGGCGTGCATCACCACGCCTGGCTAATTTTCGTATTTTTAGTAGAGACGGGGTTTCACCATGTTGGCCAGGCTGGTCTCAGACTCCTGACCTCAAATGATCCGCCTCCCTCGGCCTCCCAAAGTGCTGGGATTATAGGAACGAGCTACCAAGTCCTTTGTTTGCTTATTTCATGGAATTTTATTTCTTTTTACTGAAAAATATTAATTGTATATATTTATGGGGTACAACGTAATGCTTCAAAACATACATTGTGGAGTGAGCAAATCCAGCTTTCAAAATTACTGTAAGAATAGATTTTAAAATCAGTGTTCTGTATTTCATGCACTGCCATTCCCGTGAGGCTGTGAAGAAATTGAGGACAGGGACTGCGGTTTTATATTCCGCAGTATCCTTCATTGTCTGAGCTTCTCAAACTGTAATGTGCATGTGAATTGCCTGGGGTCCTTTAAAAATGCAGATGATGAGTCAGACAATCTGGGCTGGGGACTGAGACTCTGCATTTCTCACAAGCTCCCAGGAGATGCCAAGGCTGCTGGTCCCTGACCATGCTTTGAGTAGCAAGGCCCAGTGGCACTCAGCCCAATATCGGGCACAAAAGGAGCTCTCTCCACCCTTGTTTGGGGAAGAGGGTGATTGAGGAAGCCCAGAAAAAGAAAGGCATTGTTTTGGATCATGAAGGAAATAGGAACACAAATCCCTGCAGGATCCATCACAGATTCACCAGTGAGACCAGTTTCTCTTAATGGATAGCCACCTCCCCCGATATGAGGAAAGGAAAGGCCAGGAACCAGGATGGGAGAAGAGAGGGGAAAGAGGCTCCCTGCCTCAGCAAAATGATAGCAGTCCATCACAACACCCCTGGCAAAGCACTTCCAAACCAACGATCCTATCCAATGCACACTCCGGCTTATGAGCTAAGAAGAACAGGTTCTGCGGTTGCCACTTTACAGGTTGGAAATTTGAGGCCCAGGAAGGTTCAGTGCATGCCTACAGCTACAACTTATATGGTTAGTGTTTAAGCTGAGACTGAACCCAGTCTCCTCTGCCTCTGAGCCCAGTGCTCTTTGCGTGAAGCACTCTACCTATGGAATGGTGGCAGAGAGGGTCTCCCTGGGCCCTTCATCGTGCCTCACTCCCAGGGCCTACTGGGCTGCTTCTCCAGCCCATCTCCACCGTTCTCACCTCTGTGGACCACATGGGATTACTTCTGCTGCCATGATGCTAGCAACACCTCCTGAGGTAGCTCCCCTGCACCTGTGATTGAGGCAGCAGACTCAGGCTGAGAGAAAGCCAGCAGGACCGACAGAAACCCAGGCAGCAGGCCAGACAGGGCCTGGCCCGTGCCTATAGCACTTTCCATCTCAGAAATCTCAGCCCTCTTAGCTTGGCCAGTGCTGATTTCTCTGTTATCTGCAAGATCTTGTATTCTCTCTCTCTCTCTCTCTTTTTTTTTTCAGACAGGATCTCACTCTGTCAACCAGCCTGGAGTGCAGGGGTGCTCATGGCTCACTGTAGCCTCAACCTCCCAGACTCAGGCGATCCTCCTGCCTCACTCTCCCAAGTAGCTGGGACCACAGGATCACGCCACCACACCTGCCTAATTTTTTTAATTATTTTTAGAGACAGGGACTCCCTGTGCTGCCCAGGTGGTCTCAAACTCCTGGGCTCAAGCGATCCTCCCACCTTGGCCTCCCAAAGTATTGGGATTACAGGCATGAGCCACCATGCCTGGCCAAGATCTGATATTCTGTCTTGCCCTCAGCCTAGAAACCCCCTTGAAGACACTGGCAAAGGGAAGTGATGTTGATACCAGCCTTGCAAGACTAAATAAAATTAAATCTGCTACCAAAGAAGTCACCCGGTGCCACCCCTGACACTGAGAAGATGCCCAACATGTAGGCACCCCTCCCCCACCAGGCTGCAAGTCTTCCTTCCTTGGGAACTTCTAGTGCCAGGCAGCCCCTTGGGCTCCCAGAGGAGCTGGAAGGAGGAAGGGAGGTGCCCATCTGAGATTTCAGAGGCAGGTGCCCCAGGCACCATACCCAGAGCAGTGAGCAGTGGCAGAACACACTCTGACCTGAGTGCAGGGCTTTATACGCCTCCCAGCCCTGCCACAATCACTTCCCCAAGGCCGGGCTTGCCAACTTCAGGCCTTGGCAGGCTTGTACAGGAACTCCTCAAGCCACACTGTCCACCCCAACCACAACAGAGACAGACAGACACACCCGCCACTATCCATCCATCCTCCTCCCTCCCACCAAACAGCAGGAAAAGAAGAATGAGCCCCTGAAACTGGAGAGAGATGGTGGTTACACATTGGTTCCCTCCACAGTCCCGTAAGGCGCATAATATTAGTTCCACTTCACAGACGTAGAAGCCGAGGTTCAGAGAGGATAGCCACGGGCACACAG